TCTCCCTCCCTCCCTTTCTCTCTCTCCTTTCCTCTCCTGGGGATTAAACCCAGATCATTGGAATGAAATACAGCCTCAGCTTTTTTATTTTTCGTTCTTTTTTGAGACAGGGTCTCACTAAGTTAGCCAGGCTGGGCCTGTGAGCCTCCTGCCTCAGCCCCCTAGACTGCTAAACTGCAGACGTGAACCACTGCTGGGTCTACTTAAACCAGTTTCTTTAATGGGTACAATAAATTTATTTAGATTAGTTATTTTTCTTGTAAGTTTTGGTACTTTAGTTTTTTAAGGAATTTGTTTATTTCTAAATTGTCAAATTTACTGGCATGAAGTTGTTTGCAATTTTTTAAAAAGTCAAACAAAATTGTTCGTAACATTTCTTTATTGTTCTAGATTTCATCTCTCTTATTCCTCCTATTGGGAATTTATCTTTTTTCTCTTTTCTCCAAATAGTTTTTTTTTTTGTTGTTTGTTTGTTTGTTTGTTTTTGAGACAGGGTCTTGCTATGCAGTTCAGGCTGGCCTTGTGCTCACTTTTGTAGCTTCCAGGCTGGTCTTGAACATGCCATGATCCTCCTGTTCCCGTCTCCAGAGTGCTGGCATTACAGGCATGCACCACCACATCCGGTTCCAATTAGTCTGGATAGGACTTTATTAATTTTATCTGATCTTTTCCAAGAAACAGCTGGCGCATTCTCATGGGCTTGTAAAGAAGCTATGATTGGGGCTGGTGAGATGGCTCAGTGGTCTAAAGCACCTACTTAGAACAACTTAGCAAAAAGCTCAAGGATCGCGGTTCAATCCCCAGCACCACATGCCAGCCAGCCCTGCCCCCTGGTGGGCTGAGCTGGCCACACACGTGCGCGCGCACACACACACACACACACACAGAAAAAGAAATAAAAACTATGTATCTACATTAAAAAAAATAAATAAAAAGCTATGATTATCCTTGCCCTAAAACAAACAAAGCTCTTTTGATCTCCTCCTCCAGCCACCGCCCCTCCCCCTTTCCCAGTGGCTGCTGTGATGGAGTGTCTGACCCTTGCCTCTGCCCGCCACCTAAGAAAGACTCTTGTTCCCAGGCTGCTATCCAGTTGCTCTTCCTAGGATCACCAGTGGCCACTGCATTGCTAAGCCTAATGCAATGTCCTGCTTTTCCTTGTCTTGATTTGTTGGCAGCAGCATTGGTCCACTGACTGCTTAC